CAGGAAAGTCACTTGCAAATCACGAGAAGTGATTCTTTTGCTTTATCCAGCACTGGCAAGGCCTTACCTGGAGTACTGCATCCAGTTTTGGGGCCCCCCACTTCAAGAAGGATGTGGATAGATTGGAGAGAGTCCAGCACAGAGCAACGAACATGTTTCGGGGCTTGGGAAGCAAGACTTATAAGGAAAGGCTGGGAGAACTAGGATTATTTAGTTTGAAGAAGAGAAGACTGAGGGGGATTTGATAACAATCTTCAAACCCCTAAGGAATGATTATACAGAGGATGGAGACAGACATTTCAAGTTAGTTCTATGCCCTATGTTATACAGGACATTGAAATATAACTGTGCCTTCTCGTTTCATAAATTACAAGTCATCTAAGAGTAGCTGACATTTTTGAAAAATGAGTACCTGTACCTTACCCAACAAAATTAGGCCTAAGTGACATCAATGGCAGTTTTGGCTATACCCTTGTTTTGGTTTTACTTTAGTAGTTTCCATTTTTGCCTGCATGCTGGTGGGCCTATGAGATACAGAATAAGTGGCATTGAAATGTAGCTTTTTATGAAACAAATCCTTCTCGCTTAACATAACATTATCAACAAGCACCAACAGTGGGCACAGTGTGGTACAATGCATAAAGCCAAAACACTCCCTGCCCTAAAGAGTCAATCTAAAAGATCAAATGGAGAAATGCTCAAAGAAATCTCAAGAAAGGGTGTTTGTGGGTCTACTCCTTATGGTTGCTTGCTTAACTGGCTAAGACAAGTTTCCCCCCCACAGACAACGAGGCACAGCAGAATGAGTCGGACTTGATTCTTGATGGATCAGAAACAAAATAGGAAGCTCAGTTCTGACTGCAGATGCTGGTAAGGGAGACAGAAAAAACCCAGGCTGACTCTTAGAGCCCAGGGTGGGCTGTTCACGGCCATCATATAGAAATACAAATGCTGCTGGACTTGTAAATGGAGCACATTTGACATGGGAAAAGAATAAATATGGAGAACTACGGATCAAGGAAGAACGTCATTTTAAAGAGTTCCTTGTCTGATGAGAGCTACCCTTTAAGAACGTGCAGAGAGGAGGCTTTCCAGGCATCATATTTCAGTACTTCTTTCAAGCATTTTGTGTCTCACTCCTCCCTGCAATTAATAGGTGTTAAAACTGACTGCTGTGTAGCCTAAGCTTAAGCTTAAGTACTGGAGAATGATGAACCAGGCAGTTGCTATGGGAGAACAGAAGTCGGGGAGGGGAGGCAGTATATAATGTGTTGCCATGTATTTGCGCTCAAAAGGATGTTGAAGTGGACCATGAGGCCTTTTGCTCACTTCTCTCAAGGGCTATTTTGAGATCATAGTTCCTTTGATCCAAAGCCTTGCAAATCCTTTGTAACCAAAACGATAAAATCAAAATTCCCCTTGTTTTTATCACTTGGGGCAAACATTATTGCATGATCCATTCACTGGCTAAGGGACACAGAAACTCATATGACAATAAAAAATGCATCCATCTCCATGCCCCATTTCCCAGCCATTGCTCCTGACAATATAAGCACTGCCACATACTGAGCACACCGGAAATCGTATGTCTAGCAAAATCAACCATATTCAAGTCAAAGAGACAGGAACTGAGTTTGTCCAGACAGGAAGGTGCAGCAGGCATACAGCATTTGATGGAGTCAACACTGTGATGCGGTGCAGTCTTGATGTACCAGACTTGTAGCTGCAAATTTGCTCTCTCTCCCCAGGGACACAAGTGAATGTGTCCTGTATACACCTGACTCCACTGACTCCTCTGGCTGTGGGATTGCTCTAAAAAGCTCAGATTTATGGTTTTAGTCCCTGTTGCTGGCCAGGATGGATCTCTGATCACCTGATAAAAATTAACCCAGAGGGCACGTTGATGTGCAGGGATGTGACGTGCCTCCGCCCCATGCTATTCAGCATGACATGAACCAGAGATATACTGACCTCAGACATCTGTGGAAAGAGACTGATGGCCAATGGGAGAGCCAGGCCAAAGGCAGCGAGGCACACAAGGCTTTGCACTGGGAGGATCATCCGGGGACGGGATCGCAGGAGAGACGTCCTGCAAAGAGAAGAGAGGCTGCATTAGTAGTACCAAGCGCTGCTGTCCATACAAACATGGGTGCCCTGCTACAACCATCTAGGGGAGGGTGGAACAGATACTCCCCCTTGGCTGACTCCTTCCTCAACTCACCTCAGCCCACCCAGACCTCAGGATGGGATGTCTGTCCTGGCTCAGGGCTCCAAAAACTCTTTCTACCAAATCATTCATGAGAAAGGATGAAGTTTTCTTGCCCCTTCTCATATCAGTGGGAACCTGCTCCAGGAGCAGACTGAATGAGATCAACAGGAATTGCTCCCAGAGGAGTGAGGGGATCACAGTCTGGCCTACAAAGTCCTATGCACTGCCACTCTGCACCTTGTGCTGCCATATGCTGTCACATGCAAAACAGGCATACAGCACTCCCAAAGCAGAGAGAGGGATACCCACCTTGCAGCAATGCAAATATCAGCCGAGGGAAGGGACTCATCCTGCAGCCCTGATTATTACAGCGAATGGGCCAGACTCAGGAGGGATGCATGTAGGCTGATGTAAACTGGACACCTTGAATATGACTTCATGCCAAGCTGTCCAGAAGCACAGCACACACAGGTACAGCCCAGCACGCTGGTGTAGTCAAGAGCTGCTGTGCCCCTGGCATAACCTAGAGAGTTGCTATAAGTAGGGGCTACCTAACTCGTGGCAAGAGAAAGCAATTTTCGCAGCTTGGCTACAGCCCAGAGAAAGATTTCACAGTCATTTTGTGGTGGCCCCAGCCCTTGGCGCCGATTAGCAGGGAGGAGGAACGAGGGGCCACCTGCCATCTCGACTGCTGATTGCCCCTGGTGCTGTCCTGCCCCTTGGTGCTGATTAGCACGAGGGCACAGCTGCAATCTTGATGGCTGCCCTTCATGCGGACCTACTAGCCAGTGCCTTCCCCTTCCGGGTGGGCCGCAAGGCCAGGCCTCAGAGGCAATGAGGACCGCTGGCTCCCACTGGGGAACCAACATTTTATTGTTAAGTTGGGTTTTTTTGGTTTGATTTCCTGGGAAATCTCAGCCAATGCCATTTTTTGTGGCAATGGCAAAGACCACCGTTTCCCACTGTTTCTGCAAAAATCGTGAAACTGCAATTTTAGTAGGTCCCAGGCTCTAAGTTGTGGCTGTCTATGAACTCCTTAACCTGGAGTGGCTTGGAAGGGATAAAATGCCATCTGCTGCAGCTCTAGTGCCAACATGCCCCTTCCAAGCCCAACCTGGTGCACCTTCGATACCAGGGCCTTAAAGCTGTCTGATGAAGGGATCCTTTCCTGGCCAGCTATAGGACTCTACAGGAAATAAGATGATGTGTAAGATGGTCTGTGAGAAACATGGGAATCAGATATTGTGACGATGAGCAAGAAAATGAACAACCCCACAGAGGGCCAGGAACTGTCCTTTGGCCGGATTCTCCCTCCGTATCATTTCGGGCTTGCGCTCACCTAGATGTATCACTTTGGCATGAAGCAGGTGGACGCATTAACGAAGGGTGGGATTATTTTAATATGTGACTTTTTGTTGGTTGCTCTCCTACTATTCTCTGGGCAACCTACACCGACTCTGGTTCAGTGGGCCCAACCTACACCGACTCTGGCTCTGTGGGCCCAATGAAGTAGCTGTCCATACCCTTCAGCTGTTATCAATTATTTGTATTACAGGAGCACTTAGAAACCACCACCAAGATCAGAGACCCATAGTGCTAGGAGCTGCACAGACACTTAAGGCCAGATCCTGTCCTATTCACCCTACTCAGGTGTCTGAATCTCTAAGCAGGAGTCTATTCCACCCCGCTGGAGTCTGTTAATACACCTGCTTTTGTAACATGTCTTCAGTTCTGCCTGGAGACCAAGTCACAACAGGCAGTGAGGAGGCTTTTGTGCTCATGGTTTTTTAGAGACTCAAGTGAGCTGGAACAGGATTAATGCAGATGTTTAACAGGTGGAGATCCATCCCATTGGGTATACCTTCATTGCAGGGTTCACCTGAATGGTGTGGGGTGGGACTGAGCAAGTGGGTTAGTCTAGTCTGGGTGTGAGCAGCCACACTGTAAATCTGTAGCCAATTTCTGTGTCCTCACTAGTATTGCAATCACCCTTGTGTGCTCCACCGGCTTCTGCGGGCAAATTCCCTTGTTCTGTGGGCTACACAAAACCGAATTATTTTATGATTCACTTCCAGTGAATTAGGGGAGAACTTGTCTGTCCTTCTGGGAACAGAAGGGGAATTGAGGGAAGGTCTTCAAGGAGTGTCAGCCCTTGGGTGGTTTGGCCCAAGTCCTTATAGCAATGCAAATGGTTGGGTGCTTGAGCAAAAGAAGCAACACAAGTCTAATTCATACCCCTCCAATGAGACCACGCCCCGAGTTCAAAGCATCCCCAAGACTGGGCTGTGTGTGTGGATGGGAGAGACGTTAGGGGCAAGGTTTAGGTAGCCGCCTGCATCTGCTCTGCAGAGAAGCCATGCATAAGGGACAGCCCCTGCCATGATCAGAGGACAATCCAAGACATCAGAAAAAGGGTGGGAGGGAACACAAAGTTGTGGAGAAGCAAAACTACCTGCTCAAGGTCCTGGAACAGGTGAGTGGCTGAGCTGGGAACAGCTCGTTATTCTCCCAAGATCACAGCCCCGGATACCCAACTGCACCACCCTTCCTACCCTTTGTGTTAATCATCGTTTCAAACTTTTCAATAAAACTTGAAGGAAAATTAGTTTCCCTGCTTAGTCGAGCGTGCACAAGATGCTTTTATGATGCTTCTAATGGCAGCAAGTGATGTAGCTTTTCACAACTAGCCATGGCCTGAGTAGAAACTGAGACCCTCCGCTCCCTACTGATGGAGATGACCAAGAGCTGCATTTTTTATGTCCTTTGAGAAAAGCTTGGAGGGAGAAGAGAACCAGACCCTGAACTGACATAAACTGGCTCAGTCCTAACTCCTCACGAACAAGGAGGTGGCACTGCTTCCTGCACACGCACTAGGCCGCTGCTATCTGCCCAGTAGCGTAGGAAGCAACTCAGTCAAGAGGAGCTCTGTTTCAGTGAGAAGTTGAAGGTTGGGCCTTGCATTAAAATATAATTTAGTTCTGAGACCATCCTACTGCAAACCGAGCCACCAAGGACCGCAAGCCATGCAAAGCGGATAACTAATCCCCTCTGTGCTGGAGAGAAGAGACGGCTGGAACCGGTGCGTTCGGCCTGGACTTGAAATGTTGTAATCCATTAGAGCCCTTGCTGAGAGGCTCCTTCCTCCTGGCCTCCCCGGAGTACAGTTTAGAGCAGAGGCATCATTGCTTACGCCGCTCTGGCACTCTCGTTTAGAAGCTGCACCCTTTTTAATTACTGCCCTGTTGGGGTCCTTATAATCACCCAAGTAAAAACTACACCAATTTAAAATGATCACTGGTACAGCTCCCAGGTGTGATTTCCAGGAGTGTTTTAAACTCAGGCCAGTTCAAATTACAATAGCTATAACCTCCTAATTAAGAAGAGTTATAGCTTGATTTAAAGGGGGGGGGAACTAATTAACACATGAAGTGTAATGTCTTAATTGGGACTCGGATTTTAAAATTTGTGAAGTTCAGTATAAATGACTCACAATTAGTCAGAAGGGTCACTTTTCTTCTGCCCCTGGAATCCTTGCTCTCAAACCACTTTTAAAAATAAAATTCAGCACTATATTATCTACAGCGGGGGTTCCCAAACTGTGGTACGCGTACCCCTGGGAGTATGTAAGGTATCTCTGGGGGATACACAGGAGAAATTGTGTAATGGCGGATTTAATTTTCATTATAATACTAATTGGAAGTTAGGGAGTTAAAATATAAAATGTATGCTGGTAAGGGTACATGGGCAGCTGGTAAATCTGGAAGGGTGTATGCAATAAGAAAAAGTTTGGGAACTGCTGATCTACAGCATTTTGCAGTCACCTGAAAAACTGGTTAATACCCCAAGTATCCTGCCAGCAGACACACATACCCCACACCACATTTCAATGGGTGGATGTTTTACAACCTCTTGTTTGCAAAGTCATTACGAAGCCAATATAAAACCAATTCTCTGTTTACTGAATAGAGAGCTCCTTTATTTTGCCAGGAATAAGGTCTGGGCCTTGCTCAGAGGTTACAGCACAGAACTGGAAATCAGGATTTCTAAGCCCTACTAACCCTTTGGGCCCTGGGGCATAGCACCTTACATTATCACTACTTCCACTGAAGCTACCGGGGGCATCTGACATTACTGCGTATCAATAAGGATACGGATACCCCCATCATGCCCTTTGCAATTCAAAGCAACCTGCCTCTGCATAGATCTCAGTGGCTTCTAACTGTGAGCTGCTCCAGCTTTTGGATACCAGACTTTAGACCCACTGGGCTCAATGTTATTCCCTGCATCTTGTCATGTATACCTTGGTGCAAGCAAAGTGAGCACAAAGCATGCCCAAAATCACAATGGCAATGCTTCATACCCATTTTGCACCATATAGAGAGCAGGGCAATGGGCAAATGTGTCTAGAAGTACCTCACCCTGGGCACCTAAAAAATTAATCACCTGGAATTAGAAGCCACTTTCAAGAAATGTGGGCTTCAGACTCTGAGCTGCTGTAGTGTGTTGTAATATTTATGTACTCTGATTCTGGAGCATATACAGCAGCACTGCCTCAGCTGTGACAGTGAAGAACAATTAATGTGCGTAAATTGGTCCTTGGAAGATGCTGTCTGTGTGCAAAATTTTCTCCCTCCCTCCCTCAGATCTGTCCGTTTTCTCCTCTAAAGTCCCTGGTGCCTGCTCTTTTTGCAACTGGCTGCTGATACACAGTGGATAGGAACAAACTCGTGACATCACAGGGAATTTCTGGCTTACTGATCTCATGTACAAATTATGGTTGAGATCCATGCAGTTATAAAAGGAAGACCTTAAAGAATCCATTTTTATATACTTATGTATATGTGTGTGTGTGGGTGTACATACACACACGCGTGTGCACG